CCACGCGTTTTCGAAATTCAATTTCGTAAACAATACAACAAAAATGTTTCCAAGTTTCACTCTTTCTTCATCAAAAAACGTTGTTCGTCGTTGACGGTGAACAGCGACGTTAGCACTACATACATATCAGAGGACAAGAACGTGGATATACTGGAAATCGGTGAACCCAACTCATCGAAACACTTTCCGGATTATTATCATCATTCTCACACCCGTGGATCTATACATATCACATATTTTGAAGTGATTTCATTGTGTTGTGTCAACGAGGAACCTGCATATTCTCGTGGTGAGCATCACCATTTTGTCTCACTCTTCGATATATATTCAGTTTGTATAATTTTTGCTATTTTGTTATCCACAAACCACTTTTTAACTAATTCTTCACTGACCTTGGTGGCCTGCTTAAATCTTGGGCTACCAAATACCTTAAACATTACAAATCATATTGCATCTAATTTCTCATTTCCAATTCATCATTTTAAATTACTAAATCTTATTCAATTATGACCTCTAATCGGATTATTTATTCTCGCGACTATTTATTATCCTTAAAACCTCCTGATCTGCAATTCCATAAAACAGACAAAAAGAGCATCATTCCGGGTGTCAAAGAGCCTTGAAAACAAACTCCTATTCAATTCGTGACTGTTCCCGAAATTATGAGTACTAATTGTCGCTCCCTGTCCGTCAAAATTAACTGTCTTCAATCACTTGTTTCTTCCATTATATATCGTAATACTGGGATCATATCACTTCGAGAAACATGGCTACATGATCTATGTGATGACAATCTAGTGTATCTAAATGACTTCAAATTATTTAGACAAGATCGGTGTAGTTCCAGGAAGAAACGCTGTGGCGGTGTCGCCATCTTCATTAATTCACACTGGTGTACGTCTAATAATGTATGTTTCAAATTCTCTAGTGACAATATTGACTGCCTCACCGTTAAGTGTCGACCTAAACACTTGTCATAATATAACTACATTTACATCTCGAAGATTTATATTGCTCCTGGATGCAATTCCACAGAATTGTCATTATTTGTGGATGAATTTACCTCGCTTGCTGCCACCTCCTTCGGAAATTCCTTGTCTATAGTTACTGGAGATTTCAATTCTAGTGATCACAGCGTCCTAATTTCACTTGGACACGATCACATTGTCAACTTCTCGACTCAACTGCATGATTCTCTTGAACTTGTTTTTGCAAATGAGTCCCACTACTGAATTCTGAAAACTGTATCATAAGAATATTGCCCAAAGTATATGGAAAGCAGCACAAAAGGGTCTTCTCATACCTTGGAAAGAAAACACAACACTGATGTTATTCTCATGACAACATACATAATCTATGGTCCATGTTAAAAGACGCAAACTGGGACTTACTTACTGACCAAGCTCTTGATTACACATTTACCAACATAACACATTATCTTAATTTCTGTCTTGATGTTTGTTGTCGAAAAGAGACAATCTTCCTAAAACTCGATCGCTTCTCCTCTTCTCAACTCAGAAAGCTCCGCCGTGAAAAAGAGACGTTGTTCAAAATGAAAACTAAATCTGGTGTTAAGAGAATGAACACTTTGATTAAGCTTGAATTACAAATATTGAATGCTCTCTATAACCAGAAGTTTCTTTCATGTAAATCTCCATCTAATATGTGGAAGTTATTAAAGGAAATCACAGGTGGTAAGCAAATAATGAATGATATTTCAGTAGATGTCGGCATGCTTAATAACTCCTTCATATGTATCCCTGCAGATGTTATGACTCCCAACTCAAATAGTGTAAATAATGACTGCTTCTCATGCTTTAATATGAATGATGTCCTCAAGTGTCTTCAATTTCTCAAACCTACTCAGTCCCTTGGTCCTGATGGTGTTCCTGCTGTTATCTTTAAGAAGTTAGCTGACATCTTGTGCTCCTCATTAACTGACATTTTCAACGAATCGTTTTCCAAAAGTATTATACTTGACTCATGGAAAAATATCAAGATTGTTCCAGTGCCTAAATCAACAAGTGGATCTAATGTTAAGTTTAGACCCATTGCTATTACCTCACCTAGACACACACACACACACACACTAGACTGCTTGCTAAGTGATGACTAGTTATGGGATGAAACACCGTACCAGCTCATGAGATGCATCCGAAGCCTCGTGGAAGATAAGGGAATTGATAAACGACTCGTTTATCAAATCTGTCCACGACGACTGCCTGATAATATCCAACAAGTCCTTGAATTCGGAGACGACGATATTGATATAGATTACTTTGTTGTCATCGCTGATTGCATGTTCTTGAGGTCAACACCCGAAACCATCGGTTCCACCAACCAAAGACTGGAAAATCAGGACCGCATATAACATAACATAAGATAAGCTTTATTCCAAATCAGTACTTGTGATACAGAATGGAATTCTCAGCATTTTACTACAATATTGCATCCAGTTTTATACATTAACAATAAATAAAGTTCTACATAGATTAAAGTTATCTCAACAACATATTAGTATGTCGGTAGCAAAGCCAAAATTAAAGTGTTTGAAGGTGTTAGAAAAGTAGATACTACTAGCATATTTACTGGCGTAAGCGATAGCAAAATGTTCGAGATGTACAGAGTGTGAAAGAACGAACAAGAATGTTTTAAGTAGAGTTTGCAAGGAAGAGAGAAACAAAACAGCACATAACAAAAATAAATACAGAATGAAGAGCGAGAAAACGTTGTACCTATAAATGATGTGAGTTGGAAAGACGAGATCCATTGGTTCTACTGACTATTTAATAAGTTAAAGGTTTCATGCCTGATGCATTCTTTATCGCACAGAACACGAGCTAGGTAGGGTATGGATGAGTTTTTGTACTTACTAGTGCGGGCATATAGTTTCCTATATAGGCTTCTTGTTTTCCCTGAAGAGATACATGGGGAGAGTTGTGAATGTAGAGGGTGTTGTGAGTCAGATAAAATGGATTTCGCCCATTTTTCACATGAGTCCATATGCCTGTCCACCAGAATATTAACTAGCTGGCTAAGTGGCAAGCTGCTTACCCTGCTGACAACCTTTAACATCCTACGTAATAAGGTATAGTCTTTCTTCAATAGCCCAGGAAAGACTAAGGGGGAGCAATAGAGAATAATAGGCAGAATACGGGAGTTAACAAATTGTAGGAGTAAGGGTTGGGTTACACCAGAATGTCTTAACTTCTTGATGTAGAAGGTAAGACGGTATATTTTCTTGGAAATCGTCAAGATATGAGACGACCAGGAAAGATCAGAAGATAGAGTGACGCCTAGGTATTTAATTTCCGACTTGGTTTCTATTTCAATGCCATCTATGTTGCACACCTCGTGAGTGCTAACCAGTTTGTTTAGGTCAGATTTATGCCTAAGGGTGAAATTAACTGTTTGGCATTTGGAGGGGTTTAAGGTTAGACCGTTTTCCTTGGACCATTGGCTAATTTCCGATAAGAAGCCATTTAGTTTAGAGCAGTCACTTTGACATTTGACAGGTAAAGATACAGTTAGGTCATCAGCATATTTGACAAAGTTAATGTCATTTGAAGACGGTAGGTCATGTAGGAAGAAAGAAAAGAGAAGTGGGGAGAGTACAGCACCTTGGGGGACACCAGCTTCTGTGAGCACAGCAGAGGAGGATTGGCCTTTGTATACGGTGTACTGCATTCTGTTTGAAAAGTAGGAATGCAACCAGTTAGTGACCCAGGACTCGGTTTGTGTCATGGAGAGCTTATTTAGCAAGAGACTTCTAGGTACAGAGTCGAAAGCAGAAGTAAAGTCAAGAAACGTGCAGCGGACATATTTGGCACCTTTGTCTAATGATGAGATAATACTGTTGTGTAAGACGGCTGCAGCGTCTAAAGTACTCCTACCCTGTCTGTAGGCAAATTGTTTGGGGTCTTCGAAGCTTTTAAGGGAGGGTTCGAGTTTAAGAAGTACTAGTTTTTCCATGAGCTTTAGAAACGGGGAAGTGATGGCGATGGGTCTGAACTTTACGTTCTTGCTATTTCCAGGTTTAGGGACAGGGACTATTTTAATGTCTTTCCATGGAACAGGTACAACGTTTTCGGAGAAAGAAGCATTTAGGATATTAGTTAGAGGAGAACATAAAGCATCTGCACATTGTTTTAGAACATATGCAGGTATGCTATCAGGGCCAAGACTATGTGAGGGCTTAAGAGTTTTAAGACATTTCAAAACATCGAGAGTATTGAAGTCCTGGAAGTTATCAGCTACAAGATTGGTAACGTTAGAAGTGGTTATAGTAGAAGGAGAGCGTAAAAAGACAGATTAAGAGCATTAACATCACAAGAGGGAAAAACATTACATCGCTTACTTTTGCCAGTAATTTCATTGAAAAGTTTCCACATGCTGTTAGGAGATTTGCATGATAAAAGTGTTTGGTTATAGATAGCATTAAGATTTTTGATTTCAGATTTGATTTGAGCATTAATCTTTTTAAGACCTAACTTGTCTTTGCATTTATATAACATTTCTTTTTGCCTGCGAAGTTGTTTGAGACGGGGAGACGAGAAGCGGTCGAGGCGTTTGAACAGTGTTTGTTTGGGACAGCATATGTCGAGGCAGAACTTAAGATAATCCATTATATTGGTGATTGAGTCATCTAATGTACTTTCATAGAATAGATCCCAGTTGGTATCTTTTAACATGCATCTTAGATTGAGTAAGTTGTCAGATGTGTAGCATCTTTCCTGTGCTTTCGTAGACAGGTGTGAGAAGATTTTAATATGTGTTTTGCTGTATATTTTTGGCAAAACGCGGACAATGCAGTGATCGGAGTTATGTATCGGTGAACGTCTTCGTGTTTCATATACTCCTTCGTCATTAGTAAAAACGAGTCGAGTGTTTTGTCAAGTCGAGTGGGAAATTTGACTATGTTTGTGTGACCAAGAGCTTCAAGAAAGGAACAATCCGATGTGTTGAAGTCTCCAGTAATAACGGATAGAGAGTTGTCGAAGTTGGCAGCAGCAAACATGGTGAATTCATCAGCAAAATTAGATAGATCAGATGGAGAGCAACTAGGAGAAATGTACATGTTTGTAATATAGAATTGTTTATACTTGGGGAGGTGTTTGGGGCGACATTTGACAGTAATACAGTCAATGAAGTCATTTGAGAAGGTGAAGCAGACGTTATTTGAGACAGACCATTTGGAGTGAATAAAAGTTGCAACGCCACCACCATTTTTCTAATTACAACATTGACGGTCTTGACGAAATAAAATAAAGTCCTTTAGTGAGATAAGGTTGTCATCATACAGTTCATGCAACCACGTTTCTTGTAATGCGATTATGGCGGTGTTATGATAAGTATCAGTGGACATCAAGGATTGTAGGTACATTATCTTGTTTGGCAGAGAGCGGCAGTTTGTCTTCATTATGACGGGGACCGTAGTTAAGTGTATTGGTGTACGTTTGAGAGCTCTCTGCCAACCACTACGATGTTTCCTTCTTGGTTTCTTTGGAATATGAAAGTCATTTGGTCGTAAATCATTAATAAAGTTACGAGAGTAAATGATTCTGTTAGAATTCATATTTAGGTGATAAATGTATGCTGGTAAACAGTAAACTGGATGCAAAATGTAGATATTTTGGTAGCAGGCATCCCATTTCTATCTCAATCTGTTCTCTGCCGTATTTTTCAGTTGGCTAACCGTTTGCCCCTAATCTTTCATTTCCTCCTCTAACGCCATCCCCTCATGTCACTTTTGGATGGCCAACTTGTATCTTCCCATTCTACCTGGTATGTGATGTGACTCAGCAGTGTAAACAACGTATTCTGCACCCATCCTCATCAATTTTCTTTATCATATTTTTTCGGCATCTGTGGTTTTGCTCGTTCACTGCTTGAGTTCCTTGTCACCCATCTACTCTTTATGGCTACCTGATCTTCACTATCTAAACAACGAAGCATTAAGTACTGATCAGATGCTTTTGGGGACTTACAAAGTCTTTGAACCAAATAAAAGCATTGGATGATAGCGTTGAAAATCTGGATCTTGTTATCTATACTGAATACATTCGATTAGGTCATTGAAGGTCTCTTTTGCTTTGACAAGAATAAAATTCCGAAACATTCTCAATCAGAATAAATGTTTTGAGACGTTCAACTGTGAATACTCTATCTCCACAAACATGTGTACTTCATACACTAGTTTATAGGAGTTCATGGATTAGACATTAAATGACATCTCACGCCAGGTAAAGGCAATCTATTCACTGGAACCAGAATGAGAAACGAATTGGGCACAGGTACAGAAAGTGATATTAGACAAGATCATATATATAGTGTGGCAGAGGA